AATTTATTTGAAAATAATTTTTTGATTTGATGTCAGGGGCCAAAAAAAATTTCCTGAGTTTCAAGTATCTTGCTATAATTTATGGACCTAAGGTAAAATTCTGAGAAACTGTGGCCGAAGGATTCTGCTGGCCATACAGATGTTTAAAGTCTTTTTTTTTTGGCAATTTCAAATTCTATTCTATTTTTAATTGTACTGTACCACAGCACAATATTAGGACACTAAATTCATTACAATTTTTGCACCATAAGATTGATACATGTAATATTTTGCCAAACGAAGAATTAGGACACTTCATTTACTATTTCTTGCTTGAGCTTCATTTACTATTTCTTGCTTGAGTATCATCCAAAAAAAATTGGCAGCGCTAATATTCTTTTCTACAAGATTGATCTTGCTTCTTGCGCCTAACCAAATATTGTTACCTGCTCAGACGTTGTCTATACAACAACTCCCTGGTAAAAGTAATCCTGTAGGAGTATTTTCAAACTAAACATGAAGTAACTGCACAGGCATAATCATGACAAAAGCACAGTATTATTTTTTTTTTATCAGCCATACAAAGTTTGTTCTACTTCGGTATTTTCTGTGTGATTTCACCTATCCTTATCCTATAAACAGCAAATACCAGGGCTTTAAAGCCTAAAAATATTTTGCCTAAAAATCTTGTGTTTAGTGATAATAAAAACAAGTCTCGAAAAAAGTTTTTATTTTTTAATTTGCTATGTCATATTTAGCTGAACTAAGACTACCAATCTTTTGGCGTTCGTCAATTGGTTGGTAATGGATTTAATTCTAGATCTGGGTGGAGGGTCACCCCTACTTCACATTGACACAGTGTTGTGTTTTGGCCTTCACTTTATTGAAAAAATATACATCGAATTGTTATTAATTTGTAAGTTTCTTTTTTGAAATTTTTTTTTATAACTTAATTTTTTCTCGCGGCCTAGAATAATTTGCTTCAAATTTGACCTGCGGGCCGCCAATTAAGAACCAAGGTTACCTGCATCATCATCTTATTATATCAGCAATAACTGCTATTGCGGCGTTCCAGGTTAATGAGCATTAACACATCTAATTTTATTTTGATTCGCATGGTGATAACCACTGACAACGATTTCCAGAAGACATAATAATACTGATAGTTTAAAAAAAATGCAAATATTATAATAATAATAAAAATAATAATAATATTTATAAAGCGCACAAATCCACTGCAGTAGTGCTCAAGGCGCTATAGGAGGAAGGAACCAAAAATTACCAGGAACCTTAAAGCTATAAGAAAAGAAACACCACACCATCACAGCACCGTTTACAGGCAATTTAAGGCACAGGGCCGGCCTATTATGAAATATTATGAATACAGTATATTATTATTATTATTACTATTATTATTATTATTATTATTACTATTATTATTATTATGACGAATTTGCAGATGGATTATTTTCCAGGTGACTCTTGCTTGCTCGTGGGAGTATGGGAGACTGTCCTGATTTTCGGGAGAGTTCCATCGTGGGAAACTTCGGACCCCTGGTACATATGCCTTCTTGCCATGCCTTCTTGTGCTTCAGAAAGGTTTTATGGAAACACAAAACAATCAGAATATCTGTCTGCTAAACTGGTAGTTACCACTGCAGTGTGTGTGCAGAAATATGGAGATTTTTCCGATGTTAAAAACAAACGAACACAACAACTCTTCCATCATTACAACGCTTCTCAAACACTATTCCAACACAGACATAAACACCCACATTGGAATTTTAATTATGTAAATTAATACTGTATCATGTGTAAATTGCAGTTATCAAAAGGCTGATATTCTATAATTTTGTTGTATAGATATTAATTTCTTCAATGTTTTAATTTATGTGCATATTTTATACCATTTTTGATATAAACTAAAATCCAATGGTGAAAAAAAATATTACAAAATATAATCAAAATGTCAAATTGTGTAGCCACATGCTCAGGCCTACTACCAACATTTTATGATGCAAAATTATTTTGTTTGTAATAATAATGGACATTTAATAAAATTTATTAAACAATAAAAAAAAAATTAATAAACAAATCTGCCTTAAAGCTCTGTCCACACTATCATATTTATTTGGGATAAAAAATTGTGTGATATGTCCATATATGGACATGATGATGTCATTTTACACACAAATATAGGCATCACTGTGTGGACAGAGAGAAAATGCTTTCTGTATAAGATAATAATACATAGGCCTGCTGCATAATATGAGTTACTAATACATTAGCCTCAATTAGCTGAGCCAATCACAAGCTACTAATCCATAATTGGCATGCAATATTCTAAATGTTGTTATGAACAAATGGATATTATGAAACTAAAACAGAGATGGTATCACTATCGATGAAAGCCTTATGGCAAATACCAACAACCAGCTTCTCTCGGGACTACTTATATGATGAGGAAGACATGATCTTCACTAATACTGCCACTAGATTTTTGTACAACATTTTTTTTAAACTTTGAAAAAATTGTTCATGTAAAAGAATGAATATGAACACAGATCAAGATAATGCAATTTGCTTAATTTTAAAGTCACCTACAAAAAAAATTCATGGTTTAATGTTAAAAAGAAGAGTTATTAATTATTTAAATTATTTTCACAATTTTTTTATTGATCTATAATAGTAATATCCAAACTGAGCATAAAGCGGTGTAAAAGCAATTTGTGAAGGCTTTCCTGGAAATGTTGAGCTTCGGGTGTGGCCCTCAGTGTTAAATAAAAAATTCACTTTGGCCCTCCAACCCACTTTTATGCCCACGTTTGCTCTACACCCATCAATATTTGATTTGATTTGATGTATTCAATATCTTAACTGTAATAAAAACAAAAAAACAAACATGTTGAAAAAATATAAGCCAAAATTATTATTATTATTATTAAAACAAAATAGAGATATTTGGATAACCTTTTAAGTCCCTATTAAGGGACTTATTTCTGGATGGGTCCATCACAATAAACAGGTAACTGACAGATATAAATGGGGTTAAGTACCTGGTAGGATGTTATGGCATTGATAGATAATTGGTAGAGCACATTATTAGACTAGGACACTTACTCTCATGCAACTGACTGAAACCCTTTATATTGTGTATACGGTGCTATGAAATAAACCTAATTTGAATATATTATAACAGTTATATATATATATAAATTACTCTCATACACTTGTGTCTTGAGAATTAATGACTGGTAACAAAATTTAGGCCATTCTTGGTAATAAGCTTTGCTTTATGCTACCTATCCTCATTATGAATTTCTTTATCTCATCAATATGAATTCAGTCACCAAAACTGTTGAGTACAAAACATCTTGAGTAGTGCAACATTTTACACAGAGATTCAAGAATATGCTGACATACAGCAGCAAAACCCATTAAACTTCACTTGCTTTACCATGATTTTAAGAGGTAAACTGTGTTTTTTTTTGTAATTTAATTACAATACAATTGATGTAATAACCATCAGGTGGTGCCTGTGAAACAAATATTTGACCTAGAAATCTATTCGCATATTCTGGAAAATAAGGGCCAATTCCTGTGCAGATTTCACCAAAAATTAGACGTTTATCCACACTAATATATAAACAATGTATTATGCAATAATTACGATTCTACGCACCTATTTTCCTAGTGTTTTTCAGAGCAAATTTAAGCTGGCTTTTGAGGTATCATCTGCATAATTAAAAAAAACCTTACAGTATGACTGCCTTCCTAGGTCTCAGCTTAAATTTTAGCAATAAGTGCACAGAAATCGGCTCATCTATTTCTAATGCACTGATAAATTTCGAGGCTGTACATTATTTTCATAGGAAATGGTTATTCCTCTGACATGCTGTTGTGCATCAAGATAGCGAGAATAACGTTAAAGGTTAGGGTTAAGCCAGTTCCACCAATCAGCAAGCTGACTTCAGAAAACTTTTCAGACTCTTTGTCGAACCGTCTGATATATTTCCATCGGTGGAGTCCGAATCAAGTGGCCGACGATCTTCGGTCGACGGCCGGAATAAAATATCCCTGGTACGGACCACAATATTTGGGATTGGCAATCAAAATAACGTTACTTGGATAGGCAAATTATTTTTTTTTAATTTTTTATCCGACGACATAGTCGTGGTGTAGGACAACAAGGGGGTCCAGGCCTGTCCGACAGGAGGGCAAATTCCCCTTCCCCCACACTGGCGCCACCACTGCAGACAATAACCAAGGCTAATACTCTTAAGTTCTTTTATATCATGAACGTTATGTCAACACTGTGAATAGATAGGCCTAGACTTCGAATAGAAATCTAACAATTTGTAGATAAAATCAAATTGATTGACCAACAAAAAAACCCTGGCAAAGCATATTATATGAACACACTATACAGGCCTAGCTGCACCACTACATTACAAGCAGCCTACCCCTAGGTTAGAGCCTAGCTAGGCTGGCTTCTCTTATAGCTGGTTAGGCTAGCTAGGCCCTAGGCTAGCCAGCCTAGATTAGCTAGCTCAGTAAGTGTCAGATCCCCAATCTAGGCCAAGCCAAGCCTAGACCCCTATACCAAATATAATTTTTTTAAAAGGCGTAGGCCCTAGGCCTATCCCTTTTATTTTTACAGAAATTACGTTGTATTCACACCAACTCTGACGCCCATTCTAGATCAAAAAATAGATATTAATTGAACAGCTTGAATGCGCATTAACATTAACCTAGGCTAGGCTAGGCCTATAGGCCTAGGTCTAGGATAGGGCTAAGTTAAATGCTTATCAAGTACAGAAACGCCTCTTTTGCTGATCGATGCTGCTTCCTTGTTATAATCCTATTCTTTATCATCATCAGACAGAAGATGTGATCGCCATGATTTTTCGCAACAAAATTTACAAACAAACGATTGTAAGCAAATGTAAGCCTGTTACCAAAATATGCAGGCTCAGTATACAACGTTTACCAATGCCTTGACTATAAATTGTTAAAATTACCTGATAAATATTCGCCGGACAAGAATTTTAAGGCCTAGATACGATCATGTCCATAACGTCAACAAACAGATTTGTACTCGCCGATTTAGCAGCAATTTCATTCATGTTGTTGTCTTTTGCAATCGCGCCCTCTATTCATTTACCCTCCTTGACACCTTGATCGGAAATACTGCACTGCTCATGGTTGTAATTTCCACTTTTACTATAGGTAAACAAACATGTACAGTAGCTAAAATATTATTCTTAAACCTAAATTCATTATAACAATTAACAAGCACGTGATTTCTTAATTGTTTTAGGATATACCTTGCTCTAATAAGTTGGTTTAACTCTATTAAAAATGCAACAGATAAGGCCTTAATAATGTTTGTCATGATAGAGACCCTTCTTTTATTAGACAATTTGTTGGTTTCGACCATGCAACAGAGAATAAGCAATGGCTGTACATGTTATGGGATAGGTATAATGAGCAAGGGGGTAACATTTCGTTATTTTAAATTCCCTGCTGCCATCTTTTTACTAACACGCCTTTTTTTTTTTTTTTTTAATTTAACTTAGTGACACCCTTATTCGTGTTTCTACTACTATCTCTCTGTTTCGCCCAATCATTTCCTCCTAAGTTTATTAGGATTGAAATATTAATTACGGTCGATCCTAGTAAATGAGATGAGAACAAAAATTAGCCTATAAATACAGTTTAGGCTGTTTAAATGAAATCACTGTATAACAAGTTACTTAATTAGAAGAAAAAAGGTTGAAAATTCAAGTAAAAATCATACACAAATCACAAAAAGACAACAAAGTTGTTTAGACAAAAAGCCGATAATAGATTAAAAAAGTTTGAATAGACTGAACTTTCGGCATTGCGTCGATTAATAAAAGTATATAGAACCGAAATAATTGTTAGCGCACACTGAACACGCAGATAAATGCCTAATGCGTAAATAAACATACATTTTAGAACTTCTATCCGCTTTTCAATAGGCTTGTGAGTACTGGATTTCGAGATCCGATCGATACTTTTTTGAAGTTAGTCGTGTTAGTCATGAGTTTACAACGATTAAATACTTTTCGACACATTAAAAAAAATCTATATCCGAGTTCCTTGCCCCATATTAGCAAGTTTCAATTAAAAATCAGAATATTTGTATGTTGGAATTAATAATCGTGAGAATCATCATCGCGGTCCTTTCAATTTGACTACCATTCCTTCTTTATTAAACATTTATATTCATAAGCCTCTCATTATAAAAACTATAAATGGACCCGGTTGCCTTAGATTGGCTACTGAAAAGACCTAAAAGTAAAAAAAACAATATGTATATAGGCCCTATTATCAATCAATCAGCCAGCTCAATTTCCGCTCTGTCCCCTCTATCATAGTTAGAGTCCCTTCCGTCCGTCCTGCGCTATATAAGACTTTACATTTTTATTGCTTGTATTTATCATTCATTGCATATTCAACGTAGATTGTTTAACGGCTGTGGGAATAAGGCTATAGCAACTTTAATTTGCGTATAATATTTTATTAAAAAAATAAAAAAGTAATAGTCAGATGGACTCGAGTTTAAATTAATAATCAATATATAAGGCCTATTTGACCAGAGTCGACCATATAGAGACAAGCAAAACATATCGGAGCCAAAATATACGCCTGAAAACAGCACGTCCATAGTAGATGAAGACATCGGGTTGCAATTTCCATAGATTCCGAGATTGGGTTGCAAAAACAAAGATGGAAAGCAATGGGTATGCTAAATATTTTTCATTGGCTCATCGTGTCTTATTATTATAAAATAATTATTAGCCTTTGTTTTCAATGTGAAACTTTTTGAGACGCATACTGTATGTAATTATAACAATGGTCTGACTTCGTGATTAGAACGCCTTTGGCTGGTTTTATTGCTTTTAATTATTTTGTTTACAGCTACTCGTGTGTTACGTCATCGTTTGATATTGTGCTTTAGCATTTGGTCAGTTGGAATACATCGCTACAATACAGGTGAAACGAGAAATTGTATTGTACGGATGCCCCATAAACGCACAGTTAGGATTGATCAGCAGTTAAACATTGTCAATAACGCTCAAATGCATTTATTTTCTTTGTGTTCATGTTTTATTTGTCGACTTGTTTCTCGTTGAAAGTTTGATTTGCTGTCTCTTATACACATCTAGATGTGTATAAGAGACAGTATGTATATAGGTGTAGTCCTACATATTTGTACATCGTTTGCTCATGCTTATTATACAATTCAAGTAAAGAAAAGCTTTGTTCTTGTTGCCAAATGCCTTAGTGAGTGTAATGTCAATTTGTTATACAGGATGTAATTTGTGTGTAATGTAATTTTATTGTTTGATTTTCTATGTATGTATGTCTCCTTACTGGAGGTTATCTGAATAAATTGAAATTGAAACAATCTCTAGAAGAGACCCATCTCGAAAAGCCCCTCTTTAGTTTGCGAAAGTAATTCCTACAAGAACTTCCTCTCGAAAAAAAGCCCATGGGCTTCTTATACAGATTTGGGCTTCTTTCGAGTTACATTCAGACGTATCTTTGATAATTGTGATAACGTGTTAGTATCAATACGGTATTATATTATTGTACTAGCATGGTTACAGTTCAAAAAATAGTAAACAGAATTCGGATTTAATATTTGAAAAATGTAAAGTAGCAATTCCAAAAGCTACGGCATTCTGGAAATTTTACATTCGAACTGAATTAGAGAACACTCGCCAAAAAGGCTGCCAAAGGCGGCCTTTTAGTATTGTGGCGGGTCCAGTTTTGTAGGAGGGGTCCAGAAAGAAAATGGCACTACTGTATACACAAGTTTAAATGACGTGGAGAGTCGTCTTCGCCATTCAAAACTTTTAAGATAATTGAAAGGCAAAAATAATTAGCCTAAAAATTATTCTCATTAATGTGCGTACACCGACCCACCACATACGTGTTTGTTGAATACTGTACTGATCTGCTCCTTCCACTGTACAATACTAACATCATTTGAATAATGAATTCTCATGTGTTGCTTTTATAGCGTGACAAGTCCTCGTGCAATATTTTATAGATTCGTGTTAACGTAACAATATTTTTTTACGACATTTCAATAGACATAAGTAGGAACTCAAAAAATACCAGCAATGGTTAAGACACACAAGAATGGCGCCTCGATATTTTCTCCAGATCTGTGCACGCATTTGGACGGTAAATCGTCACAATCGTTTGGTCCTTAAATTAGCATAATATGATGATGATTAGTATAATGATGGTAATTGTATTTAGTAGTCGGAATAAAAAAGAAAATTAAAAAAATCCATGGGAGGAATTAAACAGGTGGAGGTATCCGCCACCTACTACAAAAGATGATCTGCAAACATTTGGTATCAATCTAAACATTTTATCAACAAAATGTGAATAAACATATTTAGTTGTGTTCCTTATTTGTATGTGTATATTTGATGTTGCTCAGTATGACTGAAGTCTATTAATTCTTCATTCCTTTTCCGGAGGAAAAAGAACTATTTATTTGACAGTTGATTTGTTTAAGGCACAAAAAAAAGAGTGTTTGGGGGAAAAGATTGTTACGTCCCTTTCCACCAGTTTTTAAATATTTAAACATCTGTATCTCATTAACCATTCCTGTGGTTTTCTTCGGACACCCATTTTGTGACTTAAAAAATCAGTTGTACAAAAAATGGCTTTCCTGGGGAGCTTAGCTTTAACAAATACGCTGTAAAAGTCTAACCATGTCTTTCCACAGAGTTCCTTTATTATGTACATATAACAGCAATTCTGTAAACAATGATAACGGCTGTCTCTATATTTACTTAAATTAGATCTCTCATATGTATCGCTTATACTTCAATCTAACATTGTATTAAGAGGTAAACCTCGGTTAAGGCACACAGTACATTATTTTGATCTGGTTTGATATTACGTAACTTGGCGTCTAGGATAAATCTATTATAAAATTTAAGACCATGTACAATAACCACATGGTTCGATAAAACTACACAAATGAGAACAACTTGTCATCTAAGGTACTGCCTGAACCTTTACAGTGACAACGGAATAGTCCTCTGCATGAGTCGTAATGATCACCACATGATCTGCAGTGCTCCTCGCGGTAGTCACCCATGCACTTGCCAAAACCTGGGCAGATGCTGCAGTGGTTATGCCCTTTGCCCGAGTCAATATACATCGAATCGCAGCAGATGCCCGACACGTAAACGCCTTTTAGTTCACACTCTTTGTTCGGACACTTTACAGTCGCCCTCATGCCACCAGACTCATAGTCGTGTCCTGCATAGTCGGGTTGGTAGAGAAGGTCACGGATGGTCACGTCTAGTTCATAATCACAGAGATAGCAGGCATCAGAAATAACGACATTATTCAGCGGATCATCACCACTAATGTCAATGTAACCCATGTGGATCCCTGCTCGAAGACATCTGCTGACTCTCTTTACGTTGACAACACCTTGTTTCTGAAGCCAATTATTAACTGCCCTCGTTGACATTTTGGTCTTTTCTTCTTTCCCACCACATAAGCGATTTATCAACTCAGGTTTAGAACCAGACACCTTCATGCCAGCATCTCGACACCTTTGCTTCAGCTCGCGATTCGTTAACTTCTGAAGTGACTTCATTAACTTCTTACTTGGCATAATGTTAAACTGTGAAAGAACATAAAATGCTGTAAATCCCACGTTATAGCTGGATCGAAATGTGAGGTCAAACTGTGATAAATTAAGGTACCACTTCTCAATTTTATCTAGATATATGCATATCCAGGAACAGGATAAGGTAGTATTTGACCAATCCGAGTTAAGAGTTAGGAGGCACGTGCCTTGTACTTTGGCATCTTTGGGGAGTAAGAACATTCCATAAAGACGGTAGGGATGCTACAAGCTTAAATATTTTACAAAATCATCAATGAGAAAGTGATTTAATTTAAAAATTTGAATTAAAAAAAATCCTCGTCAAATAACGGACAAATAGATACCGTATTAATTCTCATAAACGCCCCATTTTGAATATACGTCCCCTCCAGAGTCTCAATTGGAATACAGTAAACGTCTCTTTCGAATAAACGCCCCTAAATAACCCTTCTCAACAATAAATGCCCCGGTAATGCCATTGATGTATTCTTTTGGATAGTCCGTGAAATTTATTTGTCGACTTGTTTCTCGTTGAAAGTTTGATTTGTAATGAGCTACTCATTTTTGTTTGCAGATATCTTTGAATAAAAATCTGTTTACAAATTTTAAACTAAAACTTTAAATACTTACCGTATGTATTCTTTTAATAACAATTTAGTTTAAAGTTTAAGAGGATGTCTGTTTGTTATAACCCAGCTAATCATTTTACGTTTTGAACGTTGCGGTTTGGTATAGAAATACCAAACTCTGCTGTAGAACCTTAAAAACGAAAAACGTAATTTCAGAGCTTGCTACAACGTAGACTGGGTTACAGTTCCTAATTTTGTTTTAATCAGTGAAAATTATTATATTTTGGCACTTCGAAATTATCTAACATTACAAAAAGTCAGTAAATTAGAGACTTGTGGCAAGTCTAGCTACAACGTTGTGTCAACTTTATTTTAAGCATCTATACCATTTGTGAACGTTATACTGTAGGAACGTTTTGTGACGTGTGGCATAAAATCAACCCATGTAGCACCGCCATATGATAGATTTTTGAAAACATAATGATTTATCAAATTGCTTAGCCATACAATTGCACTATAATATATATTACTATATTAATATTGTTTGTCTCATCAAAATAAAATCAATTAAACACCTATAGTAGGGCCCACCAAATACTCTCCTCCGTTTTTTATTGTGTCTGTCGTTAAAGTACCTTTTATAATGACAAGCAATGAAACGTTATTTAAAAAATCCGTTTTAAATCCACATCGCTTTAACTCAGCTCCTAACAATCCTTTCTAGTTCTGTAGAACTAATTCAGTGCGATGTGGTAAATTATATAATTATAACAATGAACATACATTTATTTCCATATTAATAAGGAATACAATTATGACTTTTTTTTGTTTTCATGATAGGCCTATAGTCATTGTATAATTTAATGATAGAGTACCATATAAAAAACAAAAACAAATACATAAAAGTTCCGATGTGTTTCCACATGTCACTGACTTGGTTCTGCAGAATTACCACAGTAGCCTACCGTTAAGTAATTTGTTAGGGCATAGAGAAAATAGAACAGAAATAGAACTGTTCTATTTTCTCTATGGTTAGGGGCGATTTGTTTAGATGTGTATAAGAGAGTTTGTCAAGAGTTGAATGGAATCCATTGCAGCCTACATTAATTACTATGAACGTGCATTTAAATAGTAGGCCTATTCTACAAATGTGGAAATTTTAATATTAATACTTTTAGTTTAAAACATAATGTCGTAATTATGACATACGTATGTCGAAATTTCGACATAATAAGTCGTAATTACGACATAAAAAATATATTTCTGTGGCCCTAATAGGTGTTCGTAGATAAGACTGAGGTAAAAATTTATATTTTATCAAAAAGCTTTCTCGTCTGCTGCCCTCAAAACATTGTATAAACAACTCAGATAGCGAAATGGTTCTATTTTTATAGCATATATAGGCCTAGCCCGCCCCCCCCTTTTTTTTTGTTATAATTGACACATACTTTGTTTGGTAGTTTCTAAAAAAAGTGACAATATATGATTAAAAATAATTAGTTGTGTTTCGTCTAGAAAAATGACCTAGGCCAAGGCCCTAAACAAATAACTTAAAATTATCAGAGATTTAGGCCCTCTGCATAACACTGAAAAGCCACATAAAATTGAAACACCATGCAAAAATTATTTTTAAAAAAACAGTAAAAATGTATAAGGCCTACAGTACCATCCTCAATGGTAAAAAATGGTCACTATTATCACTACAATCACTATTATGGTGTCGTAAGACAGTGTGAGTAAATACAGGCCAGTGACAGTGTGTCTAGGCCTGGCCTACGTACATTTGTCTTGTAGTACTACTGTATATCTAAATAAAATTAGAATTCCTATGTACATAGTTGCAAATTACACTACTTACGCTCACTCAGGTCTATTAATTATTGAGTTGAATGAAAGTCGCCTGATCTCTTGTTGTAGTACTAGGCCTAGTAGACTGCTCTATGTTGGATTGAAGATGTCTGCTGAATTTTGGTATGATCTTCCTTGATTAACACGTGTTTTTATGTCATGCCAGACCCCGCGCAGAACAGTGAAATGCTTCATTACCAACCAATCACAGTTGAGTATTTATTATAACAATTACTCATAGGTATTGTTTATGCATAGGGTTTTGTATCCTGACTTTTTTTCAGGTAACACGTCAACGCCAGCAGTACACAGCAAAAGGATTACTCATAGGTATTGTATATGCATAGGGTTTTGTATCCTGACTTTTTTTCAGGTAACACGTCAACGCCGGCAGTACACAGCAAAAGGCGTAAAAAAACGCCTTATTTCCCCAATGCGTCGACAAAATAAACAAACGCATTTTATAACAATTAGCAATTGTGATGGGCGCGAAAAACGCCTCTATAACTGCGTGAACTGTCGACCTGTTATTAATTTTGTAACAAAACTGAAAAAAGTATTTATTAATAAATTGGATATATAGGCCTAACATGTATAAAATACAACAAGCCTACATATTCTTAAATATCTTACCTATTTTGCTTAACTTATTGAAAATTTTAATGAGTTTTGGCCAATGTTTTTTCTTTTCTTCGAGTCTTACACTTCAGTATACAATTTTAAACAGACATATAAAAATGAGGAATAGGCCTATATACGGTAATTAATTACAGAGACAATAAAAGGTAGTGTAGGTCTATAACATTCGCGTTAATACAACGTCTCAGCAAAGTTATTTAGTCAGAAAATATGGGTTACGTTTAAATAATACGTATTTATGGTTCTACAACAAAATATAAAGGCATGTTGAAAACCAAAGCAACTCGTATAGGCCTATAAGAACGTTATTGTTGCTCTCGGTAAAATTAATATTTCCAACTTTATGTGATTTTAGGTCCACTTCAAGCCTTAAACGGACATATAAAATGGAAATACATGAAAGTACGGCAACCACAAATAGTATTGTAGATCAAATATAACATTCGCGTTAGGTATGCCAGAAAAAAGCATTAATACAACGTAACAGCTACCGATACGTTTCGAACGTTAGCCAGACTTTCGGGATTACTTTTTAATAGGCCTACGTTGAAAAATTTAAAAAAAAACATGTTCAAAACCAAAATGCAACCTTTGTATATTGAACGTTATTAGCTCTCGGTAAAAGGTACCGTACACTACCATATTCTAAACAGACATACAACACTCTGTACAGCGAGCGCACATGGTCTAACCATGGACCTATTATAAGGTCCATTAATCGTAATAATTATAGGTCCATGGTCGAACATTCGCATTTACAGATCAGAAAATAGCGTTTATACAATGTCGTAACGAAGTTTGCACGTTTTAGTAAAAAAAATGTTATAGTTTCACAAAATAAGAACATATTTCGAAAACCAAACTGCAATGCAATCTTAACTTTATTACAGGCCTATATGTTATTGTTCGGTAATGAATCTTCCAACTTAAAAAAAATGATGAATTAGTTCAAAAAGTGTAAGTAGAATAAATAACAAACTTGACCCTTGGAAATTTTCAAAAAACTGCCTAGTCAGAAGAGACAATGATACGTTCGCCGTCGAACGAATATCGAAATCATAAACATTACATGAAATAGAGAAACAGATTCCTTTTACAGATTTTTAAAATTTGTGTTCTATGATGCTTATTGGAAATAAAAGATTTTTTTAAATCCTCTATTTTTGCTATTATTTTTATTGCTATTATTATGCCATGTTTTATAATACTATCTGCTGATATTAGATTTTAATTATGAGTATTGGGGTGCAAAATGTGCATGTACTGCCTTTTTTTACTAACTTGACATGCCCCTGGCGTTGTCCTCATTCATTAACTTTCCGTGCCTTTTGTCTTACGTCACATGACTTGTGTCTTAGCGAGACTTTTTATACCTTGTTTCACGAACCCGCTCCTGCCAATAATGATGATTTGGAATAAAAATAAAATTCTATTTTTGGCCAATTAGCGCACCCGCTCCCATGAAAAATGGAAATTTCAGAAAAAAAAAATTAAAATTAAAGTTTTTTTTTGTTTTTTTTTACGCGCTCGCCGCTGCTTTAAAATCTCCGAAAATAGATATATTAGATTTCCTCCTAATTATATAAATTTAAAGCATTTAACCATCCCATTACTACATTTACATTCCCCAATTAAATTTTATATTTATTTTCTCCTCCATCTGGATGTTTATGGCAAAATTATCTGGTAAATAAGAAAACAACATTTTATTTTTATTTTTGTATGCGCTCTCCTATGACGATCTTTAAAAACATAAGTTCGCGAAACGGTATAAAAAAAGTCTCGCCATACCGCCGGTATTTTTATTAAATTGTTTAATGTTTTGGTTTAAAAGGACTTTATGAAGTTGAGTCGAATGTGAACTTCATTAATATTGGCACATTCCTAACTTGTTTTCGAGTTTATATGATATTTACAAATAGGCCTACATTTCTGTTTACGTTTCTATATAATCATTATATATATTCATTAGGCCTATATATATTAATAATACTTTATTTAATAATGTTTCACTACAATTCGATTTATTGATGTTTTTATATTTTTACATTGATCAAAGTATAAAAGTTATCAACGTGAAATCTTAGCGTATGTAAAATATTGTAAGCAGTGTGACCACTCACAATTTTTGATATATCCAATGACTGGGTCGAAATTACCCAAGATTCAGCAGAAATTGCCCAAAATTACCCAAGCTTCCAGAAAATGCATTAAAATTTGAAAAAAACCCCAGTGTTTTTCGTATGTATAGTTTTCCTTTTAGTTCAATTTATAAACCATTTTTTATTCTAATTGTTTGTGTTAATTATTAAAATTAATATTCATGAGGTGGTAATACAGATAGAAAAATACGCCCTCAGTCGGCCAGTGTTATCAATAGATCAGTGATCAAGTTTTATTATGTAATGCATTAATTAGGTAAGATAATGGCGACGCAAATCACAAATAAACAATTCTGAACTCATGTTTATAGCAATTAACAGTCAATTAACAATGTTATGTGCACTTCGTTGAGTTTTGCTTACTTGAATGGACTGACATATACTTTGTTACTTCTTAAAATTCTTCCTCTTTGACAAAAATATTTAATTTTCTTAGTAAAAATAAAATACCCAAGGATTTGAACGGAATACCCAAGAAACCAAGACCAAGTCAAAATACCCAAGATCTTGGGTAGTGGTCACACTGATTGTAAGTGTATTGTACCATCACTGAGAAGTTCTTTTTGACAGTGTGCTGTATCTTTATAGTCTATGTCATGTCAAAGGTCAGCGATCAGAGGACGAAAGCATGTTTCACAGTGGGTCCACGGCTCAGTAACAGTTGGGCTACGATACAAAGTTTTATTTGTGTAAAGCAGAACAATCCTTTTTTGAAATAGTAGTATTCAATTAACTAACATCTTCTATCAAGTCATGTTGAAACTGGTGCAATTTGGAGCACCCCATGTGTACAGGAATCGGTTGTATATAAAGTCAATTTATGACACCACCGCCACTAAACACGTACGTAACTAGCCTAGCCTAGGCCTTAGCCTAGGCTTATGTAGCCTAGCTAGCTAGAGTAAAAGACGACAGGCCTAGAGGCCCAGCCCCCGGCCTAGGTTAGGGACCGGTTTAGGGTTCTAGAGAAGGCCCGAGCCATGTGCCATTATAGGCGTAGGCTAAGAATAAGATTGGTAAAAAGTGAGTCTCAATTCTTCGTTAGGAGGCCTAGCTAGGCTATAGGCCTAGCCTAGTATAGGCCTAAAAAAGGGCCTAAGATAGGCCTAGGTTAGGCCAAGGCTAGCTAGATTATTTAGAATATTAAGCAATAAACATAATAATATTAATAATTAAATTAAATAATAAACATAATTTAAAAATATCCAATGAACATATTCATTTCTCATAATCAAATCAATTTATATACACAATGACTTTTGATATGTTTAAGTTAAAAATATAATAAGACTTTTGATATGTTTAAATTAAAAATTTAATAAGACTACAGTAAGTTTTAATGAAATAAAAGTCATCAAGGCTCAAAATGAAAGGTTCCCACTGAAACTATAAAGCTAAAGTATATATATGTATATATATATATATATATATATATATATATATATATACTGTATATATACTGTATATATATATATATATGTAAATAAATAAATCAAGAAAGCCGTTAACACTTAAATTGATAATCATTTTTGATTTATTGTTTTTAGCTTGTGAAAGTAATAAGCTGTTCCTTTACGACTAGTGGCAATTTATCAAATGAAGTAAGTAACATGCCCTGTATTATTGCATGAAAAATAATTTTCAAAAATTCAACACCAGATTAAAGCCTTATTTAAAATATTCTTCTTGATTGTTTTTTAATGTTTGCTTTCAATTTATATTACTGTATCAATTTTTAAGGTGTATTTGTCTACTATTTAAATATCTTACCAGTTTCAAATGTAACTTTCATTTTTCCCCTTCATATGTTTATTATATATTTTTTGTTTTAATACTAAGGTTGCACCTTCATGTCAATTTTCTAGTACTTTGATTATTGTAATAAATATACGTAAAATCATGATGGTTGCTTATTAAAAGTATAAATAATATAAAGGGCCGGATCCAGAGAAAAATGTGGGCAGCGCCCATGGAATGTGTAAGGCACTAAGCTGGGAAGGGGTTGTGCTTGAGATTTTTGTTTAGAAATGCTTAACCATAGGCACAGTATATTTAAATCAAAGATTGTTTTTGGGTACCATGCTCCCCTCTTTCTATTTTCTTTTTTTCTCTTTTTTTGGGGGGACCCACAGCCCCATGCCCTCCCCTAGACCCGTATCTGTATTTTTACCTGAACTACTGTAAAATAACCTTTAAAAAGAATAATGTTTTTAATCCAACATTGTGTCAATTTCAAGTTGATAAGGAGGTTATGTTTTTATTTACAGTAAGTATTTTTTTCAGATGTTCTCTTATTCATAATTATTGTATCAGTGTTTATTTTCATCAACATTTTATTCAAAACATTCACCAGTTCACTAGTAATATTTCACTGGATTTTACAGGATGATTTGGCTAAAATTCGCAACATTGGTATATCAGCGCATATCGATTCCGGTAAGACTACGCTGACGGAGAGGATCCTTTTCTACACCGGCAGGATCAAGGAAATGCATGAGGTATGAGCAGCTAACTTTAGCTCAGTTGGCTAAACTGATGGTAACCACTGTGTGTGTGCTGAACCGTGATCATTATCACCACTGATTCAATTCCATCCACTGCTCTACTTGTGTGTCAGCTGTAGGGCTGTAATACAAGTTACAATAGTGTAACATCTTCTAGATGGGTTGTTTAAACTCATCTAGTTCCTTGTGCATTATGGCCCATGTGCATGTTAATGATGTAGAAGAATCTTCTTAAAAGAGTAGGAGAGTGTCTCCTGGTGTAGTGCACAATCACCACCAGAAGGACCCCACTGGAAATAAGTCTTTGTACTTGAAGGGTTATCCTTGTTGTAAACCACACCAATAATACTGTAAATAATATTTAAATTATCTAATTTTTGTGGGTATTGTATTGATGTTTCTTATCTTTGGTTTTAAATTACAATGAATTCTATTTGAAGGTTAAAGGCAAAGACAACGTTGGTGCTACTATGGATTCTATGGAGCTGGAGAGGCAACGAGGCATCACGATCCAATCAGCGGCAACATATACTGAATGGAATGGCAGTAAAATCAACATTATTGACACCCCTGGTAATAAATTTAATAAATTATTGTAATGTATTTGGTGAAATATTGGAGAATAAGGATCCCACAGTAGCCATTATTATCCCGCATTACCCAATATAGCTTTACATTGATTGCATTATAAGTTAATTGTATTGTTATCTCATCTTGCTTGGGACTTCACCAATACTCTCTCATGGTTAGGCTAGCATATACCTAATTTTGTTCATTAAATGTTCTTAAATATTCCAATAAAATGTGTTTTGGGCATCCAACAATTAAATGAAATCATACTGGTTGTGAGATTATATCTGCTTTGTTCATCATTTACGAATGCATTTTTTGGTTGTACAATACTCGGTTCACTAGATACTGCGGAATTATAACATGTAAACAAGACACTGATAGATGATGAATATTTGGCTGAAATTGGCAAATCATGATGACAACTGATTATAAAACATATTTTTTTAAACTCCTAAATGCATATTGTCAATGCTCCTTTCAAATAGAATATATTACTAGCACCAAAACATTCTGAATTTTTTGAGAAATGGGTTAGTTTCTGGAAGTCTACTCCTTGCTCGCAAAGGTGTAAAAGATTTTGCCATTTTTCCTGAGGATTCGTATGACTCAAAGAAGACTTTTGACACCAGTGCCACAGATTTGTTGTCTGTCTGGAAAATATAACACTCAAAAATTAAATGGGTTAGTTTCTGGAAGTCTACTCCTTGCTCGCAAAGGTGTAGAAGATTTTGCCATTTTCTAAATTATGTATATTTCTGAGGATTCGTATGACTCAAAGAAGACTTTTGACACCAGTGCCACAGATTTGTGGTCTGTCTGGAAAATATAACACTCAAAAATTAAAACGTAAAATGAATTTGTCGATGTTATTCAAAAGTATTATGTGTTGATTGACAAGGAAAATATGTTCTATTCTAATTTCAAATTGAAAGTTTATTAATTAGTTGAATATATAAAGTAAGCAAGTGAAATATACATAATTTAGAAAATATTTTGAATGTATTACTGTTGACTGCTAGGCCATGTGGACTTCACTGTTGAGGTTGAACGTGCATTACGCGTACTGGATGGAGCAATTCTCGTCCTGTGTGCTGTTGGTGGTGTGCAGAGTCAAACCTTGACGGTCAACAGGCAGATGAAGCGCTACAAAGTCCCATGCTTAGCCTTCATCAACAAATTGGACAGGTAGAGTACATTACCCAGACAGATTAATCATATAGTGTAAAAAATTATTAAACCATTAACAGTAGTAATCCTAATGTTGTAAAAATTTATCGGGTTCCAAATATAATATTGAAACTACATAAATCATTAAAGTCAGGCTCCGGAGGAAAAAATTTTTTTATATGTTGTAGAACTGATTTTTCTAAGACAGAAAAAAGTTGTTTGATGAAAAACTGGGGAACGGTGAATGAGATACAGATTTTTTAATATTTAAAAACTGGGGAAAAAAGGGGCGTAACAGCCCATTTTTACACCTTATTCCCCCAGTTTTTAAATATTACAAAATCTGTATCTCATTCACCGTTCCCCAGTTTTTCGTCAAGCAAAATTTTTTCTGTCTTAGAAAAATCAGTTCTACAACATATTAAAAAATTGTTTTCCTCCGGAGCCTGTCTTTAACAACAATTGGGGCTTGCTATCCCAAAACCAACATCAGTGACCAAAAAATGATAATTGACTTTTTAATACTACTGTATCTTATTCTTTACATTGTAAGCTTTTAAAATGATGGATCATTTACTGGTATTGACTTACTATTGCCAAAGTTATGAGTAAAGGTATTATGGCTTCTCTGTACTAAAGCATACAATACTGTCACATTCTTATGGTAATAATCAGTTTAACAATAAGCAAGGGTATGCTAGTTTTGGAATGGCAGGCTTCAATTAATAATATAATAGTTTTATAATAATAGATATATTGATTTAGAGTATTTATGCAAGCTTATGTATACTGTAGTTTTATTGACATTTTTGAATTTTGCTATGGACCTATCTTATATAGAAAAAAAAAAAGATTATTAACAATGTTGGTTTCTTTTTTCTTAATTGTTTATCTGTGCGATTTAAGAAATTTTATACTTTTCTCCAAGATAAAGTTGATGAAATGAAAGCTGTTATTCTTTTTGAAGAAAATGTTTAAATTTTTTTTTTTCAGGCAAAATTCGAATCCATCTCGAGTACTGTCTCAATTGAAAGCCAAGCTGAACCACAATGCTGCTTTTCTTCAGATTCCCATTGGCCTGGAAAGCAACTCACAAGGTGTCGTTGACCTCATAGAAAGAAAAGCAATTTATTACGAAGGTGAATTAGGGTAAGAGATCAACTCTTCAATGAAGTCTCAAATGGTAGTTACATGTTTGCATTAACGATTCACTTTAAAATAATTTCTATTTAAGTGCTCTTAAATTAAATTAGTACTAGTACTAGTCCCAGTTAGAGACTTTCACAGATGAAGAGTCTAGACCACCTCAGCCCCACCATGGTTGAGACAGAGGCAACAAAATGAAATGGCACTCTCGGCCTGAATTTAAAATTTGTTTTCTTTTTTTTCTCCATTTTAAAAAGTAATTTTCAAAAACTAAGGGGTGTGGGAGAGGGGCAGGCCATCTGACCCTCCCACCTCTTTTAAAAATTGCCACTGGTATTGTTCCATCTGCTGACAACCTTAAATTCTAGTGAACTTTTATTTTTGCTTCTTTTAAGACAAACAGTCACATTTGGTGAAGTACCACAAAACTTGCTAGAAGAAGTTGAAGAAAAAAGAAAAAGGCTTATCGGTAAGTTAACCATATTTTGTATATTAAATACCTATCATTCTCAAAAGTACTCCAGTCCCATGTCTCCTAAAGCACTAGTCACAGTGACTTACTGCCGCTTCCCCCCCCCCCCAGCACAAGTGTACCAGGCCCCTACAATGTACCAAGACCATGCAAGTAGTAAACTTAAATAAGTACTAGCCCCAGCAAGTCCACAAATTTACTGGTCAACACACAAGCACTTACCCTGCCTAAGTACTGTGCTTAGCATTTTCAAGGTACCAAAACATTTGCTAGTTTCTTTGCAAACTTCAAACCATGTAGTATAACAACATGCATATTTCCATAGACTGTTGTATTTATTGTCTATGTATTTTTTTTTTATTTGATTGTATTTTATTGTATGTTTTGCTGAGTCCTGGAAAATAACAATGCTTTTTTTTGCACTGATCAGGTCAGCCAGAGTAAAGAAGGAAGAAATAAATATAAAATGTGTGATGTGTCATTTTTAGATTTCTTTTGTTTTTCATTTGCTTGTACCTTAAATTGAATTCTGGAAGTTATCTTTTTTATTTCAGAGGCAGTGTCAAATGTTGATGACGAGCTAGGGGAAATGTTTCTAGATGAAGTTGAACCAACTGAACAACAATTAAAGGTACAAAATAATTCTCAAATACCATCTGTTTCTATCCTCATTATTGATGTGCTACAGAAGATGAGCATAGTTTCCTATCGATGTGTTCATAAACTTAACTAGTTCAAACATTGCTGAGATTTAAAACAATAATATGATAAAAATATATATCTGTATTCTATTTGGTAGGAAGCAATTCGAAGATGCACTTTAAAGAGGCAGTTCACTCCAGTCCTAATGGGGACGGCGCTCAAGAATAAAGGTGTACAAACGTTATTAGATGCTGTTGTCAGCTACCTGCCAACACCCGCAGAGGTCCACAATTATGCCCTCAATGAGTCAGTGTTATATTATTCAATGATTGTTCTACAACACAACCTTTGTGTGTTACTGTAGTTACCTTTGTGTGTTAGTTAACATGGTATACCAAATGTTGTATTATTACATTATTTACTCACCATGGCAGTTCACTCCAGTTCTAATGGGGACGGCGCTCAAGAATAAAGGTGTACAAACGTTATTAGATGCTGTTGTCAGCTACCTGCCAACACCCGCAGAGGTCCACAATTATGCCCTCAATGAGTCAGTGTTATATTATTCAAAGATTGTTCTACAACACACTTTTAATAAAAATACAACCTTTGTGTGTTAGTTAACATGGTATACCAAATGTTGTGTTATTACATTATTTACTCACCATATATTTATTTATTTGGCACATAGAATTTGTAATTGTCTCTTGATGGAATGTGATTTTTAACTCACTTATTTATATACTTTCTGTTCATTTGAATTATTTGCATATTGTTATTTACTTTCAAATAATGGGTTTTAGGGGGGGTTGGATGATCACTAAATAGTTGATTTAATTCAACTTTTTGATCATCCCGTCTACCTTTTAATATTTTGTATTTTATGTACAGTATTGATAGGTTCCAAATGAAATTTATTTATTTATTTGTTTATTTATATATCATCTTTCTTTTCATATACAAAGTGCTTCTTTCCCAAGTCATTGGGCCCACATGCTTAAGTGTTGCTGCTATAAATCAGTGTAGGCGCAGGCAAAACACGCCAGATAACCATTTTTACTTCTGGGTGGAGAGAAGCAATGCTGATTAAGTGCCTTGCTCAAGGACACAAGCGAAAGCATAGCGAGGGATTGAAGAATGTTTTGTTTCTTAATTTTTATTTGTCCAATTTTAGTATTTTTACATTACTTTCTACTTTATAGCCATAAATTTATATGTATATAAAGTTACTTAAAGGCACCATGAGTGTATCTGTCAAATGTAAACGCTGCTATATTATATATTCCTACTTTTTACATTTTAAAGCCAAAGTGAAAACTACATATGTGACATTTATCTCTTTCTTATTTGTAACACTAGAACTGATGAAAAAATACAACTAGACCCTGGAAGAAATTTTGATAATGATTTTATTGGTCTTGCATTTAAGTTAGAGGTAAGCTTGTTATTACTATGTTCTGTCAGAATTAATGTTTACTCATTTCACATCCAAGTCACATTCTGAAGTTAATGAAAGTAAATAATTCCAGGGCCACTAGGTTTCATAAGGCTCTACCCCTGGATGAGACACTAATATATCGCAGATTACTCCCAGAAATTGACTGGTGCCCATTGCTACAGCTGGACTGAAACAATGCAGAAAGGTGCCTTGCTCAAGGACACATGCGAAATGCACAGTGGTTTGTTTGAAGCCCTTACCATGTAGTTGGGAACAAGACTGTCTGTTACCGCTGTGCCTAACCACTTACACAAAGCTTCTATTAAGTAGAGTTATTTCACATTTGTTTGAATCCTGGTGTATTAAGCTCTGTGCACACTAAGACATTTTATGTGACAAATAAATGTGATATGCCCATAGTTGGTTGTAATATGACATCATCATGTGGAGTTGGGTAAATACTTACTAAGGAACAGGGAAACTAGACTGTTAAAGATTAATTTAGTACCTTTTTATTTATCAGCCTATGGATTTGAATCACTCCTAGGTTAATTCAATATGGAAATACTGGCTAATATGCAAATGATATTCAAATTAATGGGTTACAGTGGATCCTTAATTAAACTGCCGTTATAGTCATTTTATAGTCATAGATGTTTTTTCTGATCAATTATCCAAGAAAATTTCAGAAAGTTTCTAAACCAATTTTTGCATTCGGAGATGCTCTTAGAATCAGATCTGTTTTCAAAGTTAACTTTTATTTTTTGATGTTTCATTGTTTAGGCTGGTCGCTTTGGACAGCTAACATACATGAGATGTTATCAAGGGGGCTTTGCCAAAGGACACTATATCTACAATACTAGAACACAGAAAAGGACCAAAGTGTCGCGTTTGGTGAAGATGCATGCCGATAAAATGCAGGTAGAGTAAATTTTGTTGACTATACCTCATAAATATTAATTAGGTAAAAACAACATTTTCTTGATCAATTCCACTCATTAAGGTGTGCTGTAGTTTGTACTACTCCCCTGCACATTTACATGCGCCGAGAAAAAAAGTACTAGCAAAAAAAAACCAACATTCTTGCCTATGTGCACCGCATGAAAACTGCGTAATTTTACCCTTACAGATCGCAAAATGGCAAATACAGACGGACGGTTTACTGTTTAATATTTATTCAGTTTAGTAAAACAAATTCAACATGGTTTTATTTCAGTAAAGCAGTGAATTCTACTTTCTTCGTTGTTGGATGAATGGGCCTACACCCCCCCCCCCCCTTCACTTCTCATTGGGAGAAAGTCCCAATCATTCAACACCCCAGGAAGTAGAATTCACTTAATTCACCGCAAACCATGTTGTATTTGTATACAGTATTACCTGCCACATCCAAGAATCTCAAACTGCATTGAATCTCTCACTGGAATCAATAACAACCTTCTTTCACAGTAAATATGATGTGATCCTTCCAGGTCCTCTATGCAACTACAGTAGAACCTCGTTTTTACGTACCCCAGTTATACGAACCCTCGGTTTTATGTACACCTCGTATCGATGATGACATCATCCAAACCCCCTGAAAATATTCAAAACAAACAGCCCTTTTCAGAGCAACCATAAGTAAAAAGACTATAACAATAAACTATAACAATAAACAAGCCATAATGCAACATATTTTCATTAAACAGCAACATTGATTGAGTCTTACGCCCGTATTCTTAAAACAAACTTTAGTCGAACTTCGAACTAGAACTTTATTTAGTGCTAGTTGCATCTTTAACTTCAATTTGTATTCACAAACAATGTAGTCGAAGTTTTAACTACGACTAAATCAAGTCCTAGTTTTAGTTCAACTGAAGACGACTGGCAAGCCACGACTATCAAACTAACTAATGAAAACTTTAATAGCAGACGAAATTTTAGAGATCCGGTAACGCGGATGAATATTAAGCTGCCGTCTGTGGTTCAAAAATGTATTTCCTCATAATTCATAATAGACCATCATTCCCTTAATTAATTTTCTATAATAATAACTATATTACAGTAGTTGTTAAAATATTACAATAGAGAATTTGAACAGACATTGAAAATTTGCTTTCTTTGGAGAACTATTATAGTTGAGCCCGAGCGAGGGCAGCGCCATCTTTGTTGTTGTTATTGTAAAGCAAAGATCTTATAAACACAAGATAGCGTTCTCCGCGATTTACGCGTAACAAATAGAAGCGTCGGTCAAGGTTCAAAAGTTTCCAATTTAGCAAGAGGGCGTCATTCATGCGCTATTATACCAAAAAAAGTAATCAGTTTTGGAAGAGGGCGTCCTATCTGTTGCCATGGATTTGAGATGGTTCCTGTTCTGCTGTTCACAGTAAGGTATGGTCATAGCGGTCAAAGGTCAAAAGTTTCCTTTTTAGCAAGAAGGCGCCATTCATGCCTTATTACAAAATTTGCACGCGTAAATCGCGGAGAACGCTATCTTGTGTTTATAAGATCTTTGTTGTAAAGCTACGTGATCGCAACGCGAGGGGATTTCGTGCAAATCAGGAACTATCGCATGTGGCCAGCAAAACATGTTAATTTCTCCTTCCGGAAGCTAAACTTGGTGTCTCTTTTGTTTAACACACCGAAGATATATCAAACCTGCGTATATAATCGTTTTTATTCGTTTCACTTTATCGTGAGTTACAAAAAACACGTTTTTAGTGGAGTAAATATTTCAAGTCGGCGATTTAGCCTGACCCTAGGCTGACTAAAAAAATCGGCCTGCGGAGGTATCATTTTAGTCGAGGTTCACGTCATTTAGTCGTAGTGCTAGTCGAAGTTCGTTTTAAGAATACGAAATGACGTAATTTTAAAGTTTTAGCTCGAACTACGACTAAAGTTCGTTTTAAGAATACCGGGGTAATACCGGGTTGTTATAATCTAAAACCATGTGAACTGAGTGAGATGAACAACTACCAATGGTGCTCAAAGTAATTGCTTTCCTCCTTAGCTTCGTGTGGCACACCATGGAAAAAATTGTCTGGTCGAATTTTCTACACTAAGCTGAGTAGGCATAGTTTCGTACACGAACGCTAATTGGTTGGCTTGCCCAGTGCAGTGCACATGGTTGCTGTTTCACGTACTCAAACGCTAATTGGTTGGCTCACCCAGTGCACATGGGTTTAGATTGTCTCAACAGGCCCAGACAACACTGCAACAGCTTTGTTGTTTACAATAGGCACGAAGGGGAATTCCCAAGTTATACCTTTGTCGTATAGGTAATCTTACAATATTTTCATGTTCTTTAGTTAAATAAAAGATATAAAGTTATGAATTAATACACTAGATACATACGTATATAGAGCGTTAAGTACGTATTAGGTCAATGGTTACCACAAATTTAACCCAACCTCTATTTTACGAATCCCCCGATTTACGTACCCTTTCCGGTCCCATACCGTACGTAAAATCGAGGTTCTACTGTACTTTGCAAGGAAGAACTTTTTTTAGCTAGGGAAATTTACCTTCGTTGACAACATAACATGACAGACCTTTATACAATAATAACTATACAAGTGCTCCTGGGAATATCCCTGTTCTCCCTGGGAACATACCTATGCTCCCTGGGGAATATCCTTATGCTCCCTGGAGTATATCCTTATGCTCTTTGGGAAACATAAGTATGCTTCCATAGGAATATCTCTAGTCATTCATGTATTGATCATGCTACCATTTTACATTTAACATAGAACAATGAATACGCCTTTTGAGTTTTGTTAAGTTTTATATCTGGTTGATTCTTTTGTAGGATATCAATGAAGTGTATGCCGGAGACATATTTGCCTTGTTTGGCATTGATTGTGCAAGTGGTGACACTTTTGTCAACAAACCCAAGATGCAATTATCCATGGTAATTAAAATTCATTGTATTACTTACCAAAAACTGATTTAAATACACTAGTATTCTACTTAAATGGTATAGTAAAATTTCTAAGTATTGTAAAATATGGGTTATAGGCTGTCTCTGTGTGATTAATAAATAATATATCGGTGACATGGTATTTGTTTCAGGAATCGATACACGTTCCAGATCCAGTTATTTCGTTGTCAATCAAACCAGTCAAGACTGCAGATCTTGACAACTTCTCCAAAGGCATCAATAGATTCTCCCGTGAAGATCCCACATTCAGAGTTCATTTTGATAGTGACAGTAGAGAGGTTTGTACATTTAAATTAATTAATATTAGGTTTGATTGACTCCACCACTATATTGATATCTAACCATAAATCCTTCATTCATTAATTCTCTTTATTTCAAAAACAAGTTTGTAATAATTTGTTCTGCAATACTTCATGAAGATACTCTTTAAGTGAGGCTCTCTCAAAGAGGCCCTCAAACAGTACATGCAAATATATAAATAGGTAGATAAATATAAAAATACTATAAGAATATGAAATTCTATAATACAAATACAAAATTATACAATGCAATTATGCAATGAACAACTTCAAACACCATTTTAAATTGACATGAAAAACAAATAAATAAAAAAATACAAATGCTATGCAAGACTTAATCAAGATGTTGCTGCCTTAAATGATCATTATGCTTAGATTTAAATCTGTGGACATCAACATTAAAAATTAAAATAAATACGGTATGTAGATTATATTTTATTCAACAACATAAATTTACATTGTAGCCAATGGCTAAATTGAGTAAAATTTCACAAAAAAATAAATTGAGAAAAAGAAACCATGTAGCACATTGTTGGCAGATACTAGTATTTTGCTATTAATATCATTGTTATTATTTTGTTGTTTATAATACTGTGTTTATATTTAGACTATTATATCAGGAATGGGTGAACTTCATCTTGAGGTTTATGCTCAGAGGATGAACAATGAATATAAGTGTCCGGTGATCACAGGAAAACCTAAAGTAGCTTTTCGTGAATCACTCGTCAGTAAAGTCGAGTAAGTGTCTTTGTACTACTATATCAGTCTCCCAGGGTGTCCCCCACCCTCCATGCATATTATGACCATGTTATGTCGTGGCAAGACTTTAGAATAGATTAAGACGACAGCAAAACATTGTATGTATGTACAATTCCATTATTCACATTTGTAGAAGACGATTTGTGACATTTCTCCAATGCAAGTCCCCAGCTGTGGCGTATGCAGATGGAAAACAGTCATTGTAAATGCATCAGTGTATAGGCCTAAGCTCAGAAATGTGCTATGCTCAAGGGTTGATTAAAAATCATAAGCCAAGCTCCAGTAGTTTTTACCTCAGACATTTATTGTAATGATGACATACTGTACCATAATATAGGTTTGCTCTGACGGCTTCCAACTCAAGTTAAGCCATGTTAATGAGGCTGGGCCTGGAGATATGATTGGCTTCGGAGGTTACCCCCTTCCCCCACTACAGTATATATCTGGCTTAGCTAGGTAATGATGATTTGTATTGAGGTACTGTAGGCTGTGTGCCAATACCTGTGGTCAAACCATGGTGATGATGCTATATATAGATTGGGAATAGAGGTACGACATGTTCATTATCTTGTTTATGTCTTTTTAGGTTTGATTATCTGCACAAGAAGCAAAGTGGTGGTTCAGGTCAATTTGGCAAGGTCATTGGGGTCATAGAGGTAGATCATCACATACTCTTATTTTATGTGAAATATCTGTTAAATAATGTAATTTTTATGGTTTTTTTTTTTTTAAAGTACAGTAGAACCTCTCCATTGGGAAACACCTATTGAGGGGAGAACCCTATAAGGGAACATTTTTTGGCTGCAAATCTAGGGAAAATATATTTTAACACTACAGCCAACCCCTATTCTGGGGACACCCTTATTAAGTGGACACTTTTTTTGTTCCGAAAGGTGTCCCCTTAATGTACCTGTTTATCGAACAGCTTCTGAGAAACGGTAAGAAGTTGATGGGTTTTGAAGTGGTTCACATTCTGTTACAGGAAATATTGTGAGTATTTCATGGCTTATAAGGTAAACTGAAAATGGTGGCCGTTTCTCATCATATGTTTGTGCATTTTTTTTAATTCTTTCTAGCCACTTCCAGCAGATTCTTATACTAAAATTGAGTTTGTAGATGAAACAGTTGGAACCAATGTACCAAAGCAGTATGTACCAGCAATAGAAAAGGTTAGCAGTAGACAACATACAATATTATATATCAATAAATACATGTTCCCACCACTAGTGGTGCTCATGTTTGTACAAATTGCTAGTTAAACCCTGTTATTGAAGAATGTTTTTTATAATACAGTTAAAGTTGCCTAAGTCGACTGTGCCTAATTTGAATAATTTTTAAGTCGATCTTATTTTACTTGCCAAATCGTTGTGTTTTCCATTAATTAACAATGTCTAAGTCGAATTTTATCTAAGTTGAACAATATTTCATTGGCATTTTGGATTCGACTTAGGCAAGTTCAACTGTAATTAGAAATGTGATTACTAGTATACTATTACTATATCACGTGCAATAGTTATTATAAACTTCATTTGCTATGTTATATAGTATCAGCCAGTACCATGGTGTTTGCACAAATTGCTATATATATATATATAGTGTTATTGAAGATAATTTCAATATATAGTAATTAGAAATTATGTGATTATATTATTACTATATCAAATATATTACAATAGTTATTACATTAAACATTGCTATGTTATTTACCATATTACAAAATAGTGTTACCATAGTATTTGCACAAATACAGTGTTATATTATTTAATTGATTAGGTTATTATATTATTTCCCATATTACAATACAGTATTACCACAGTATTTGAATTGTATTCCTATAATTTGCCTCCAGTAATCTGTTAGTGCTTTATAGTCTTAAAAATTAAAGAAACCATCGCTCACATCACAAACTAACACAATCATAGTAAATTGTGTGTTAGTTCATGAAATCAAGAAAGCACGTCAAAATACACGCTGTTGTTATTAACAACTTTTTGTGTGGAAAAGAATACAAAAGTGCTTGACAACCAATACGCGCTTGTTTTGACGCGATACTGTGCTACTTTGATTGTGTTAGTTCGTGATGTGAGCGACAAAATGTGTTATGATTGCTAAACTAATTGATGGTTGATTAGGGATTTATGGAGGCAATGGAGAATGGTATACTAATTGGCCAGAAGATCACAGGCGTTAGGATTAGACTACTGGATGGTCAGCATCATATAGTAGACTCCAGTGAACTAGCATTCAGGTTGGCAGCCATCGGAGCCCTCAAGCAGGGTAAGTATCACGTTTATATCTTTATCTTTTCTTTATAGTGTGTATCCTATTCAGTAGATATCTACTGTTTTCCCATAGAGCACAGTTAGGCTTTAATAAACCAAGTCTCAAAATGAGAATTAGGAGTGGAGTTGTTTTCACCTTGCAAAAAATTCCTGCTATCACAAGTATTGAACCCAGGACCCAATTCTTTCAATTTGCACATGTTTTTTTTTTAGTTTCCACTTTTTGTTGTAGGATTTGATTGGATTTATTCAGTGTAAACACCAAGGATAGCCCATGAAAGTCTAGAAGAAGACTTATTTCCAGTGGGGTCCTTTTGGTGGTGATAGGGCAGTACACAGTGATAATCCCCTACTCTTTTCCAAAGAGTGTACTGCGTTCTTCAACATGCACATAGGCCATAAATGCACACAGGACCAACTGCTTAAACGTCCCATCTGAAAGAGGGTGTGCTATTGTAACTTGTATCTAAGCCCTCCAACTGAAACACAAGGAGAGGCAGCAATGGAAATTGAACCAGGGAACTAGAGATGTGTTCAGCGCACACACAGTGGCTACCACCAGTTTAGCCAACTGAGCTAAGCTTCTCTCATTCAGTTCTAAATCGGAAATGTGTTAAGATTTATGTAATTTTTCTGTAAAATGGAATATTTGAAGGCTCATTTCAGTTTGACAGGCATGCCAAGTACAGTGTGAATGTAATTTTTTATGGGATTTGGTAATTGGGCCTACATTTTGACAGATGAACAATGGCTGATAGCACTTTGTCTGATAATGGATTATGTTCAGAGTTATTTTGACCTAGTTTCTGCAGTATACTCATGCTCTTATGAGGAGTCTATTTTTTTACAAAATTGTTATATTATTGAGAATAACAGCTTTACACTTTAGAGTGCATGCCAAGGTCGCCCAGTTCATGCACGATTGCACACACAGTAGCAGTTACAAAGTGGGCTGAGCAACCAGTCTGAACATAATGCATGCTGTATGAATTGTAATAAAATTGTAACTCACAGTTTCTGACGTTGACAATTATCAGTGGCGGTTCCAGAGGGTCTGAGGCAAAAATATAACTTTTTCCTCAGCAAATTATAAACATTATCAATATATTATGTTAAATATTTAAAATTTGCACACAAATCATCTGAACATTTTAGTACTAATAGACTAGTGTTCTTCTGTTTATAGCAATGAGTACAGCACAGTGCAATATACTGGAGCCTATCATGTCAGTAGAGGTGAATGCACCTGATGAATTCCAGGGGCCTGTAATTGCAAGCATCAACAAGCGACAAGGAGTGATTACAGGTACAGAAGGAGGAGAAGGCTACTTCACCCTGGAATGTGAGGTAAGCAAACACCCACCTACTTACCTTATACAACAAACACAACCATAAAACAATTGTGAGACATTGTGAGGGTGGCAGACTCAATCTGGAAGTTTCAGCTGATCACACCACCGGGTCTCACAGGATACATCCACCATACAGTTAACTGTACAGACTTCAACAATCTTAACCTTGTGTGCGGGGACAACAGACGTTAAACAATCATTATGATTATGAGGATGCCACGGCGCAAACTCAACCACCACCTATGTTATATATTATATGTACCTGTATTGCATTCTATATTGTTTGTTTATAATATATATATTATATTAAATCTAGAATTTTTTTTATTATATTGTAGAATATAAGCTACAATTCACAGTTGGTAATTGTGGGCATTCAATAAGATATTGAATATTATTTTTGCATTTTAGGTTACTTTGAATGACATGTTCGGATATGCTTCAGAGCTGAGATCACTGACCCAGGGCAAGGGTGAATATTCAATGGAATACCATCATTATCAGCCATGCCGTCCAACCGTGCAAGCAGAATTAACTCAGCAATATCAAGCAGATAATGGACTTTTGAAAACCGCCAAAAGACAACGGTGATGAATGCTCACCTTTTTAGAATGCATTTTAGGATATCTCATAAAGATAATTATAACTAATAAATGATTATAACTTTGGATATTTAGGGCACTAATTTCCTTTTATATTGGTGAGATGTCACCACATGAATTACTCAGATGTTAAAAGATGAATTGATGAAATATTACCAGTCAGGCATGGATCTAGACCTTCACACCATTCCCCATGGCAAAGTTAAGAATGATAGATAAAATTTAAAAAGAAAGTCTATTTCGTGAATACTTTCCTGGATACACCGACTAATTGCCATTGTTCCTAAATGGAACACCCCTTCGAAATAAATGGAACAGTCCGACCCAGGGCGCCACGTACGAACCGTCTTCCTAACAAACGTTCTCATTGATTTGTGAAGTATCTGCAGTGCCGAATAAATGAATTAGGTTCATAATTCTCTTTAATATTATTGCCGTAAATAGTTTTAGGGGGATTCTCTTCTGTAAACCCACCCCAGATGGACCTGACCTGTGTACCTATCTCTGCAGTAGTCAGGGTTAGTTTTGATGCTGTATAATGTCACCAGTTGATGTGGTGAGATGTAAATATAGATGATGTGTAAGATTTTACCTGTTGGTATAGAGATGTCACCAGTTAATGTGATGAGATGTTACCAGTTAGTGTAGTGAGGATTAGTAGCTAATGTGGTGAGATGTCACCAGCTAATGTGGTGGGATGTCACCAGCTAATGTGGTGAGATGTTAATGTGGTGAGACATTATCAGTGAATGTAGTGAAATATCACCAGTTAATGTGGTGAGATATTACCAGATAATAATGTGGTGGGATGTAACATTACAATTCATGTCAGATGATGTGGTAGGAATTTCCAGTTAATGTGTATACATGTCTCTAGTTGATGTGAAAGATATTACCAGGTGAAGTGGAGAAATGTTGCTTGTTGATATGGAGAATGATACCTGTTGATGTGGAGAAATGTTAACTGTTGATGTGGTGAAGTAAGGCCAAAAAAAAATTGTGTTATCCACATTTTCGGAAAATACAAAAAATGGGTAGGTCGGTATAAAAACTTTTTTTAAATATGTGTTTACACCTAAAAAGTAGAAAACACACAAATAATACAACAATTTTGTATTCAGATCGTGTACCACCCAGCAAAATAGGCTAGACCTCGGCCCCCTAGCGTTGTCAAGGTTATTCCAGCTTTATTTGCTCATAAAAAAATATTTTTTGTTGTGACCAACACAATTTTTTTTTTGGCCTTATCAGTTAAAGTAGTGAGATTTAAACAGTATTGCTGTGAGATGCTACCAAAAACAGTTTAGTTGCCAGTTGATGTGGTAATATGTCACCAGTTGATGCGGTGAGATTCCATTAGTTGGCGTACTGAGATTTCACCAGTTGGTATGGTAACATTTGACCAGTTGAAATGGTGTTACGCTACTAGTTGCGCTATGATCTTGATATAGCAGCTCTATATAAATACACATTATGTATGTATGGTAAGATTTCACCATTGGATATGGAGAGGTATCAATAGTTGATGTGGTGAGATGTCACTAGTTGAATTGGTCAGATGTCACCAGTTTATGGATGAGATGCTGTTCGATAATGCCGTAAGAATTGCCAGTTTATTTGAGGAGATGTCAATGCTTTCAATTCCTATTTAACTTAATGAAAGATTTATTTGTTAAAACCTAATTTAAATTATACAAATTTAATTTTGGATCAGTGTACTTTGTCCAAATAAAGTCAAGAAAAGTGGAGTACTATAGTATATTCATTGTTTAACTTTGTGGCTTATAGGTTTTTATATTACAAGTACACAAAACAACAAAAAATGCGACCAAAAGTTGACCAATATGCAAAACAAGAGCTTTTTACTTGGTCGTTAACTGGAATTTCAAGAAGTGTTGAGGTACGTGATGGTTTATAGCAAGGTAGTTTTGTGGTGCTTCACTAGATATAATGTGTCTGCTTCTTACACTGAATAAACTGGCATGCATCTGTTTTTAGTTGTAGTCAAATGGAGTTACAGAGAGGGCAGTGTATCCCATATAATATAATAATAAATTAGGAACAACCTAACTTTAAACAAGTAGCTGGCAAATTTTAATATTACCTTAACTTTTTAATAGCCTCATTCATTCTGCCTTCCCATTGGTCCAAACTGAATCACCTTAATCTTTCATTACTCCTTTGCTATATATAAGCTTAGTGTCCAGTATATGAGACTCGCTTGATAATGATGTTTGAGCCATCGAAACATGCTGTGGTATAAACTTGTGATTCTTATATGTTTGTACTGATGTTGCACTTTGGGGCCCAGGCCCAGCTAAAAAAAGACAAATAGGCGGAAAACTATACTATTATTTATTTATGAAAGTTCTGTGTTGTCTTGGCTGCTATTATTATTATTATTATTATTATTATTATTATTATTATTATTATTATTTTGTTTTATATGGTAGTAGAAGTCACTAAATATAAGCGTTGAAATTAGTTACTAGAATAGGATTGGTTGTCTGAAGTACGTCAAACACGAAGAAGAGATAGAGCATGTACGTTCTGCATAAGTGCATGTGCAGTGTGCCTGGTTGTTGATCACGAGAATGAAGAATGAAGTTGCGTGCGAGATTTAAAAAAAATGTATGCCACAGGCTATTTGTATTAAATCTCTTGTGTGAAAAGCTCCCTAAAGTGTGTTAAAGCTAAAAAGTACACAAAATGTGTACTGGTCCGTTAAATATGGTCCCTGAGCAGCCACTTTTAAGCAAAAGTTTAGTCCAGTTAGAATATTTGTACCATTACACCATGTCGTTTGGATGGAATTGGATTTACTGTATTCGGTGTAAACACCAAGGATAACACTCGAAAGTCTGAAGAAAACTTTTACTTCCAGTGGGAAATTATAATAGTAATAATAATAATATTCGACTTCATTTCCTATCATAATATATTATGTAATTGAAATGTAAGAGATACTTGGTAACCAGGGGCTTCAGGGAAAACACATGAATAGTTAAACTTCCGTTTTGAATACCTCACTCACCTCGCTCCTTTTATTCTGCTAGTCTTTCCATTTGTTCAGCCCGAAGCTCATGTGATTTTTGTGGAACTGAGGCCCAGCAGGGTTGCGTGAACATACTACCTGCTCTCTTGTGAGTGTACAAAACAACCCGAGTAACTCGCCCCACCCTCCTACCGTTAGCATTTTGCGAATGTGAAATGGAATCCAGGTTAAACGTCCCCTATTTTGTTTTTACAACAAACGTCAAATGGCACAGAAATCTCGCTGTTACACTAATTATTGCAGTAGCAATGCCTACCTATAAACCCATTTCTACTATATTATCCTTCAATTATAATACCTTTACTTTTTCCTAATAGACCTACTAATTACGTCTTGTCGATTTCTTACCAATATACGTTTATTTAAGCGCCTCGAGGTTGGTCCAACGGGAGGCGCTATACAAATTGCAAATTATTATTATATTATTATCAAGTAACATTTATTCACAAATTACATAATTTACATAGGCATTAAAAGAAGCGGTTGCTTGTCAGTTTGAATACCAAACATACAAAACATACAAACACAGGATACAGTACATGGAAAGACAGCAAAAATTGAAATTTAACTCTGGGTCGCCCACAATTGTTGGCACCCCCTGGAAGCGGAAATGGCCCAATCATTACGCAACAGTAATAACACTGCGCAATCAGACACCAAGACGTCCCCGACATGAGTGTACTGCAGCCCCGGAAGGTGCCAACAATCATGGACCACTCTCAAGGTAATGTTAAAAAAAGATAAATATGATAAATTTATTTAAAGCCATGTAAGTAATGTTTTCCTTAATATGTATCTAATATTTCTTAACATTTCTTTGACCAAATTTAGCGAACTTATTTTAAAAATGCAGTACTATTATACGATTAATATACTATAATATTATATATATATACATATATATACATATATATATAATATATACCACTATATATTCCAATTCTAGTGATTCCAATACATACTTATCCTATTTGTTGAAATACTACCGTATTACTGTATATTTTCCTATCGATTCCACTGTCAATTTTACACATATGACATGCCTATGTATTCAAATATCAATTATTTCCATATTGATCTCAGTAGCCTACCTTTATTTTTTATTGATTTCATAACAATCCCCGATTTAATTCCGAGTACAAATATACCTATATTTAGTCCAGTACCAATGTTCCCATACCGATGCCAGTACAGTATTTGTATGCGGTATCAGTACCAGCCTCATCCCAGCAGTACACACTGCTTTTCATTCCACTGCCATGTCTGTATTAATTTACATGACTATCATGCCCCTATTTATTCCAGTACCGTGCCTGCATATATTAGGCCTTAAGCCTACGGTACACTTTTTATTTCCTTAACGGTATCAAAAATTGGTCTATTTACTTCATTAAATATAGGATGCGAACAATCTCAATATCAATCTCAATATTAATACATGTTCATTTGAGTATGTGCTTTAATTTATTACTTTTTAACAAAAATACATACATAATAGGCCTACACCAAAAAAGTTCGAGTTTTAGCAGCATGTTTGGAAATTGTTATGTCACTTTACCCATAATTAATTTATAATGAAATATGTTCTACGGTTATTTTAAGAACTTCTAAAAAGTTAGGTTCATGCTTTAAAATAAAACAAAACAAAAAAACAAAAAAAAAAAACAATCAAACAAATAAACAAACAAAAAACAAAAAAAAACCAAACATTTATCAATAGAAAATGTTGTACAGTATTACAATCAATATCTCAATATCAATCTCAATATTAATACATGTTCATTTGAGTACGTGCTTTAATTTATTACTTTTTAACAAAAATACATACATAATAGGCCTACACCAAAAAAGTTCGAGTTTTAGTAGCATGTTTGGAAATTGTTATGTCACTTTACCCATAATTAATTTATAATGAAATGTGTTCTACGGTTATTTTAAGAACTTCTAAAAAGTTAGGTTCATGCTTTAAAAAAAAACAAAAAAACGATCAAACAAACAAACAAAAAAAAACAACAACAACAAAAAACCAAACATTTATCAATAGAAAATGTTGTACAGTATTACAATCACTATGAGCATGCAAAAGAAAAATAATTCAATAAACAATAACCATTTTCCCTTCCCGCCAAAACGTTAGAGAATTTTGCCCAACGAGTGCCGAAATTCACCGTGAATGCAAGGCGAACACTACGGAGGCCTAAGAGATTTGGGGTTGAGAGAGTGGCAGATTTAGTAGGACTGCGGAATACGATGTGCCTATTCAAAATCTACACAGAAAAATATTGAGGAAATTTAATAATTGCACTAGAAAGAGTGTTTATAAGCAGACTCTATGGTATACCGATTCCTGTTTGAATCGCACCAGGTAACGTAAAAGTCTATGGATTGCAATTATAATGATAGCAGCGCATAGATGGCATTTTAATAAATTTATAATAACAATATAATATTTGCGGTGGTGGCAAAGATGTGTATAAGAGACAGGTATATATGTGTATATATAATCTAATCATAAAATTACTGTTAAAACTCACTTTCTTATTACTTTTATCCGCTCTGGTTTACCATAGAGCACATTGCTGATAATATTTGCGATACTTTCCATAGTTTATTTTCGCTTTATAATTGTTGGGAATTCAAATCCGAATACATCAACTAATAACTAGCACTCTTGCGCATGCTTAGTTGGAAAGCACTAGTCCTTGATGCATCGAAAATAACAGAGATCGATATGATACGCCCCTTCCTATAAGCATTAAATGACAAGACATGATCTCCGAAGAGATATTTTTTTCAATAAATTAATCAGGGGTGGCGCCAGGATTTTCCCGACGGGGGGGGGGGGGGGGGGGGGGGGAGGGGTCAGATTTCCCCGACGAAACCAAAGTGGGCGTGGTCGAGCTTCGATTAAAAGGTTTTGAAAGTGGTTCTGGCCCCCGAAAATGTTGACAATTTAGGGGTTTCAAATGCTTATTTAATCGATTTTAGAGTCTATTAATATGTAGAAAATACATATAATTTTTTTTCTCCCCGACGAATTGTGCTTTTTCTCCCCGACCGGGGGGGGGGGGCAGCCCTCCCCGCCGGGGGGCCCGCTGGCGCCACCCCTGAAATTAATCATGATATAATTATTGTTTTAAATAACGAGTGTTTAATGTTTGTTTGGCCATTCCAGCATCTTCTTGTGCAAGTATTTTGTCTACATTAGCGATGATTCTTTGATTGCTGATTTACGAAAAATTTCATATCGTTCATGTCTAGACGTGCGGACTCGATTGTTCTGCCAAGCCATGTGGAAGTAATTGTTCATAATAATGGCCATCTCACTGGCCATGTCGTTGGAACTACAGGAGACAGCATGGTACTCCATACAGTCATCCTCGGTATTGTAAGCGATCCAAATAAACAGTTTTGGAGGATCTCGGCTTGCACGACAGCGTGCTATATCCACCATCCTGAATGTTTTGGTCTGTGGCGCATTGTCTCTGGATTCTCCAAACCGCATTTCGATTCCTTGACAGTTTAAGACGAGTTCACACTTTGGTAAAGACTTCAGCTTGTCTTTGCACGAGTCCCAAAGACGGGTGACAGGATTTTCAGAGTTCACGGAAAAGCTGCCGTCTGGCGGCAGCTGCTTTCCAAGGTAACGGACACTGAATAATGGGTCTCCCCTGGTTACAGTCAGGCTTTTACTTCGACTGAACATTCTGAAACGTTTCATAATATTTTAACATCAAAATTAACTGCTGTCTCCCTCGCCATGTAACCTATGATTGAAGGATACGATATGATAAATACTGTATTTAGTCGAAGCTAAACGTCAATTTTCCTATATTAAACAAACCATAAAAAATGAAATTGCACAATTAGGCCTATGAATATTTGCCTATTATTAGAATTATTGATCGGATCATACGTGAAATACGTTACCAGTATGTTATCGTATATTGTAGACTAATCTTTAAAATATTAGTTGCACTATATTTCATGGTCTTGTCGCACGTGTCATTGCATATTTTATTTATTGGGGAGCATAATAATTTGGTTTACAGATAGGCAAAATTATTATTATTTTCTCGTGTCTTATAATCTTAATTTCTATTATAAGTCAAAGAACATACTGACAGTTACATTATTAGGCTGAATTAGAACTATATTCTAGGCCTATCAGTTACAAAATAGCAGATTTAAAAGTTTTTAAGATAATGTTTTAAAGTGTAATTTTTTCTACTCATTGATGTAGCCTAAGCATACACATTGCAAACATATTCATTTGAATCCGTTTTACCCATCGTCAGTTATCCCCGCCTACTTCCGATCTAACATACTTGTCAACCAGAGTGCAGCAATATTTTTGAAAGTCTATATCCTAATTAGTATCGACGAGATAAATGTTACGTTGACATCTCTGGAATATACATCTATTGCAGACAGGCATACAAAAAGGTAATCAATATTAGTAGGCCTTGAGCATTCAGACTGTTTTGATATTTCCTCAGTTTCTTATGCAAATGCTTTCTACAACTTAAATATAAAGATGATTTTTATCGACGTAACCAGATATCTGTAGCCATGATGACAGGTTAGTTACAAAGCGAGTAAAAATTCATTTAACCCATAATTGTTTTCGTGATATTGCAAAGTGATGATTTAATGAAACATTTGCTTACCTTTGGATTCGCCATTCAACACACATTACCGGCAGCTGCAATGAATGCTGCTTTGTTGTGTTCATATATTGTATGTTATAAGTATAGACTAAAATTATTAACCGATCGATCATGTAATGCCGGAATTGTTAACACGACGCTTCACTAATCTTAAACAATTAGTCGAGTTATGAGCGTATTATTATATCCATACGTTAACTAAACACATCGTGTTTACAAGACTGTCCATAGCTAATCCCGGTGCTAATTTATTCAAGCCATTCAAATTAAATTATGGATTGCACTTATAATGATAGCAGCGCATAGATGGCATTTTAATAAATTTATAATAACAATATAATATTTGCGGTGGTGGCAACATCATGCGATTATGACAACATCGAATAATTATGTAGGCCTACATGAGAATTTGTATGGGTGATGCATGGACGAAAAGGATAGTACATACGGTACAGGCTACAGATAAAACATTACAATTATAACTACACAATGGAAAAGAAAGAAAAACAAAAGATAAAAAGAAAGATATAAGAATCAAATATTGTTTTAAAAGAAAGCAAACAAAAAGAAAAGATGACATAAAGATTAAAAGGAAAGAAAGGAAAGGGAAAGAAAAGTTTGATGCAAGAAAAATAAAAGAAAAAATGAAGAGGACAAAAAAACATTCCGAGATGCTTCGCCTAGCGCATATTATGAGTATTAAACATGTTCATTATTCTTGAAGGTTTGCATGGAAAATTGACTTCATCCCCTGAATACGGTTAGATTACTGCCGTGGCGTATCTACGGGGGGGGGCACCTGTCTCTTATACACATCTAGTCAATTGAGATTTGTAGCATAGGCCTATGCAACATGTTGTACTGAAGACTTAATTAATTTTTATGTTGTTTATTATTATTGCACAACAGTAATTCTTTGTTAAAGTAGGGCAGACTGTTACTAGATAATGTAACAATTATGTTTAATCCATTTGCAGAGAGATTTACATTCTAACCAGGACGAGGACAATTAAAAGGGTGTAAAATGGTGACTAGAAATGTTCATGGTGGAACAGATGATAATAGTGATTGAATTGTTGGTAATAATAACTAGTATCTGTTAGTAATAAAAACAGCTGGAATGGGCTATAGGTTATTATTGGAAACAATTTCCCTATTTTTCAACTGAATAAGCTGGGGCATTAGCTTAGATATTTGCTTTCTCCTCTTAACAAAGCTAAGGTAAAAATAGGAACAATGGTACATGCCATGGTAATTTGAAAACTGGTGATCACCGGGCAACATCCAACTTTGTCTGGAGAGCCGAAACACTGAATACGGTATTTCTTGTGATTTGTTTTGGGAATGTTCAAGATGTATTGTTCTATTCAAAATACCCCAAAATCATAAAAATCATTTTTGAAATTAACATGCTCATTTTGAAGTAACATACACATAATCAACTTGAACATAAAAATTAGTGTATTTAAAAGGTGTTTACACATAATTTTAAAGCGAAAAATGATAGTCAATGGAAGTATTGTAGGCCTATTACAATTATAATTATCCAGTAGTGTACACACATTTAATTTTAAAAAAAGTCTATGCTCAAGTTAATATTGTGTATGTTACTGCAAAAAATGAGCAAGTTAAATTCATAATTAGATGAGATGAACATCTCACATTAGATGGATATGTGCGCTATATAAAACTAAACTATTATTATTATTATTATTATTATTATTATTATTATTATTATTATTATTATTATTATTATTATTATTATTACGAAATCCTTGGTTTTACATCCTCCTGCGTCGTGCAATCGAAGGCTCCCTTTTGTTTCTTATTAGAGATCACCTTGCTGAATTTTGATTCCAGTATGGCTATATTGCTTATCTTGAATCAAGGTAACTGCTGCCAGCATATTTAAATTTGATGAAATAACATGTATTTGTGATAGGTCTAATGGAATCAATAAGTGAGATTGATGGAATTAATGACACGACGAATTACAACAACACACATCTCACCAACATCCCTTTCACCAAACGATTTATTACAAATACTATAGGCCTAATACAATAATATGCTATGTAAATATACATGTAGTTTCCAATTATTAAAATCAAAATAATATATATAGGTACATGAATACAACTCAGCTAATTTGGAATAAGAGTTATTATTATTATTATTAAACTGTGCAATGTTGCTGTATGCATGCAGCATTTTTTAACATACACTGATTCGCCGACAGTTAGCAGACGCGTTTCAAGGACTCGCAACATGTCGCGGCGCGTGCGATGGATCGTTTGCAGTAGCTAGCTGCACCAATGCATGACGTCAAAATTGTGCCATATTGCGCGCACCGTGTTTGCTACCAAAGTTGCATTTAGACCTTCGACATCATTTTCGTGCAAACTTATTACATTCAATTACACAGTCATTGAAACTCACTAATATTGAGTACGGTATACACCTATTATGTGGATTATTATTATTATTATTATTATTATTATTATTATTATTATTATTATTATTATTATTATTATTATTATTATTATTAGGCCTATTATTATTATCATTATTATATCAAAGCTACAGCTTATATTATTTGAATACATAGTAAACTTTTAGTAGCATAGCCTATTTCAATTCTTATATATTGTTTGACTTGATAATTGCATGTTTACAAAATTACTATATCAAAAATATTTTAGTATTTCAACTGATTATTCGTTTCATACATATCAATATACACAATGCTATTTTGTTTTACATTGTTACATAAGAAATCTTGTAATTATTCTACCTACATACACCTATTAACATTTCGCGTCCATGGAGAACATAGGCTATATGCCACTTTTACCATGAAGTTGAAAGATTTGTGTACATCTACGTAGGTAATTTTCCTCTATAGAAGAAGAAACAATTGGGATAAGAGTGATGGCTGGGGATATGGTTACTCAAACATATTGAAAGGCTAATATAATACATTTTATTCGACAACTTATACATTGCATTTGTCTACTACCTAAACGCAAATAACTTCAAACTTCAGACTAAACTGATGTCATATAGAATATATCGGGAATATACAGCGTCTTATGGAACAATCCAGATACATTACCGGAAAACATATACCGTTAATATATACGTATTTATGATTCTGCAAAAACATTTTGAATACCAAACTGCATATAAAATTGTTAGCTGGATTCGCTTTCTCACAGGTATATATACCTTACATGTCCGTAAATGTGTGAGTTGTTATGCTTAGGCTTTTATAGTCCTGATTATCTCGTTCATTACACCTTTACCGTAGGCCTACTGTACTCAGACCTACATTGTGATTATTTCATTAAACCATTAAAATGTATTATTCAATATATGCAAATTGCTATGGTAAAGTCCCCCGTCGTCCGGTATTCCGAAGTATAATAACCATAGGCCTAATAACTCATATCTCGACCGTATGGATCATTATAGCGATGCGATCGTCGATTCTCGTAGACGGAACGCCTCGACGGCATCTCCATGTCGTCTAATGGGTAATGCTCCTTTCTTCGCGAAGAAGAGCGCGTACTTCGTCTGGGGATCATGTCGTCCGAAAATCCATTCATATGTCGCGGCATCTGGAATTCATCTTCAACGAAATCGTATCTTTTAAGGCGCTCTCCTGACGGACCTTGCCGGCGACTAAATATTGGGTCGATTGTACTGGCCCGATCATCTTCTGGGTAGTCGTCATACATGATATAGCGGGTAGATCGTGGTGGGCCACCGGCTAGCATTGGACGTGGTTCCCGATGATTGGTGGGGTCGAATCCATAAATATTGTGAGCCGGTTGAGTGTCGTAGTCGTACCTCTCACGATACTCTGTCAATTAAGGTACAATTTAAATAATACGATAATTACAACACACAGGTTACTAAAAAGGAATTTGTAAATACAAATGTCAGGTCTACTAAACCCCAGGCCTTTTTGAACAGCATTATTACCGAACTGATACATTAAGTGGCACATTTACACGTTGGCCTACTGTAATTTGTTTATGATTAAAGAATATAGGCTTATTGTCTGCCAAACATAAGGGAAAACTTCAAATATTCGACTAAAATATTAAAAAGCTCATTTAAAAGAACTAGGCCTATATTAAATATTAGCAACCAGCCGGAGACCATCGAAAAAGACAGGTTTCACTGATTTACAGACATTTTAATACAAATATCCTAAAATTAGGCCTACTGAGTCAAATGGTCTCTGTAAAAAATGAAATTTGTTCTCATTTAAACTTTCAATTGTAAGTTAATAATAAATAAATAAATTAATTAATAATAAATAAATATATAAATATAGAATTGAATTCTGATTTTCGACCTAATGACAAACCGTAGAGTATGTATAATATTATCAACATTGACATAAGTTTGTGGTTGCTTGTCCACATTGTTGCAAATACATTGTATAGACATATTGTGATAATAATTAGGCCTACCTCTTGATTTTCTAGATCTTCTGTTTCGATCTCTATTCCGTTCGTCGTCGGAAGAGCTGTCTCTGGCTCTTCTTTGTTGTTGATGGTGCACCGACCTTCTGTCTTCGAAGTCTTCATAAGCACGCTTAAAAGCCCTTGCAAATGACACTGTAATCGCTTCAGCGACTTCTGCATCCTTTGTATAAAAGATATGACAGAGATAGCCTTGCCTGGCTCTGGCTACAAATGTGAACGCTCGAGGGTACTTAAAGTCCGATGCGCAGTACTGAATGGCGTGTATTGGAATTTCTTCTGCCCAGTCGGTACCTTTAATAAACAACATGAAAAAACATTATTTTTATAACCATGTTTAAAGGAAGTGATCTAGAAGTTATATAAACCAAATTTGTACAATAAAGGTGATTTTTTTTTTCTCAATCAGTTTGGAGAGCCACATGACAGTTTAAGTAAACTTGTTGGCGATCCTGTCTTTCCGATGTGAGATTAAAAAAACAACTTTCTGAGTCAAACTGTGTTTAGACAAAATTAAATGAAATGAAACGAAATAGAATGAAATTACTAAGTTGTGTTAAAAAGAAAGACAACTAATTAATAACATTGTCCTTGGCACTTTCAGCCCTTTCCTTTATAGTTTAACCATGAAGGAATACGTTTAGCTGTCTGACTGTTTAATCAGGTAAAGCAGCGACGAAGTCGATGGTTCTCGTTCTAATCCTCTATGGCTTTTATATGTAAGCTAAAAATAGGCAACCGTCTGTCGCAAAATGGACTAACTTAAAAAAAAGGCAATTACATATTCAACGGAATATTTAAATTAATTATTTAATATTAACCACTGTTTAAGGGTTCCTTTTAATGGACCATGGCCTTGAAAGATATAACTCTGTAATTCCTTCAATCGAAGGCTAGTTAGTAGCTAATTTAACAGTAAACCATCGCTCACTCCATTAACCGTTAGCTCATGAAAAAGAGATTAGTTATAGGACTATGGGCTTTTCCCCAACAGTACACAGAACAAAGAAAATATAGTATGCCTATTCGCTGATTTTTACCGGTACATATAACGACAAAAATCCTAAAATTGAATACCACAGCCACAGTTTAAGGGTTTATAAGAAAGGAGCAAGGAAAGGTTTTACGGAATGGCGTGAAAAGGATTATTTATGCTTCCGTTGGTTACAGAGGAAATTTTCTTTTATTCGTTCAGTTGAAGCTAATACTGTACCTATTTTGGCATTATAATAACTAACGAACCACTGAGTCCACTCAACTATTACGGAAACCATTAAATACTGTTTATCATTAAAAAAATAAATAGAAAAGTTATTAAAAATATATTAAATCGCTTATTACGAAAAATTAAATAACTTATCACCTGTCAACTATACATTTTTCGGAATTAATTAAAAAAAATAAAATTGCTCATTAAATCTATATAAAATAAAAAAACTAAATTAGATATACGGAGATATCAATCCAAATGTGTGTTGAAAAGAAGGAATTCTCTAGGCCTATTAGTGAAAAATTAAGATAATAATAAATATTTGAGAAAATGTATTTGTCTCTCCCGGGTTTCAAACACAAGACCAGTAATCGAGAGTCTTTGGGCTTATTCGACTGGTTCATTTCGTTGAGTACGAATTTTCGTTGAGTATTATTTTCATTTGACTGGTTCGTAAAATAGACTTCGTTGACAACGAAAATTAACGTAACCAGAATACTTTAATCAGCGTTAAGTTATGCAAGTGACCAAAATAAATATGGCCGATTGGTCCGATTTAGAAACAACATTTACGTTAATATAATTTAGATTAAATTTCAGAAAATTGACATTGAAATCAAAAAATAATTGTAGGCTAACAGAATTCAAAAACTGGATGAAAACATTTTTTTTAAACGAAAAACCCATACTGCCACGATCCGAAGCAGCCTTGATTACGCAGCGTGTATCGCGGTAACTATGCAGCCATTTTGTTTTGTCGAGTATTTACCAGTTTTCTATTCGACTGGTCGTCTTTGTTAAGTAGGATTTTACCGCTGCGCAGGTGGACGTGGTTTAACTAAGAACGACCAGTCGAATACGCTACAAATCCAATTGGGACAATACAGTACGTATTTCGAAAATAATTATTCATAACACAAACAACACAACTAATTGGAGGATCTATGCAGCGAACACGATGCATGACTGACAGTTTGGCCATCACTAAAACGCATGGCATTATATTTACTATCATACTATCAACCTATGATCGCCACCCATCCTGTAATTTTAATCTTAACAATACCATTTAGATTGAAGTTGATATTTTATTTTTTCTGGAATCCTTTTCTGCTTTGAACCGTACACATTTGCCAGGCATTGTCGATATCAGCACAAAGCTGATTCAGGACAAAGTCTGCAACAATCGCACCAATCCATCAATCAATCGAAATCAATCGATTAATAACTGAAACATTTCATTCCATTTTTCATTTATTTATTCGACCAATACACATTTACAAAAGGTACAGTACAACAAAAGTTATGGTCAGGGGCAGCTTAAGCAAAATTTTACTATAACTCATTGAGAGTCAGCTGCCCCATTAATTAATATAAACATAAAAGGCATTTAAATACAATACAATAAATAGCAGAAATAGGCCTATAATAATTTAAAAAAAAATCAAAATTGCTCTTACTTAGTATGTAATAACTGATATATAATTTATATAAGGAGAAAATTACCGAAATTATCTTATTACAGATAAGTTTAGTATTAATGAAGGGAAAAAAAGTAGGAAAAAAAACTTAATGGTATACTAATTAAATACAATAGATACAATAATTAATAAATATATAAAGTCAGTAAAAAGAAGAATTTAGAAATCTTTGTCAGAAAAATAGTTATGAATGTCCATGAGAGAGTTGGTAAGAGATTTTAGTACTATAGAGTTCCTCACATCAGCAGGGAGTTTGGTCCACACAAGAGGAAATAGATTTACAGGTGAATTTCTATAAGCAATGGTCCTAGAAAATTGGTGTACAAAGGTTACATTGTCTGTGTGTCTGGAGTTTACATGGATATTATCTGAGATGGAGTGACAGTCAATTTTCCAAATAAGCATTTGATTACGAAAGATATGAGATTAAATTCACGTCGGAAGCTGAGACCTCTGTATACGTTCAATTCGTTCCATGTCTTTCTTTGAATGTGGAAACCATGCAGGTAGTCAATACTCAATTATTGGTAAAACCAATGATTTGTACAAATTGGTCAGAACTTGCTGGTTAGTGCCATTAGCAACCCTTAGGATGAGACCTATGAATTGATTGCACTTGGAAACAGTGGTGTTTACATGATCTGTCCATGACAGTGTGCTGTCTATTGTGAGACCAATGTATTTGTGGGCATTTGTTGTAGTGATTGGTAGGCCATTTAGTTTGTAAGTACGGTTTATTGGATATTTTTTCTAGTGATATGCATTACATTAATTTTAGATGTGTTGAATGTCATGCGATTTGTACAGGACCATTGACCAAGAAAGTCAAAGTCTTCTTGTAATGTTGAAACATCACTACAACTGTAAATAGGTCGATAGATTAAGGCATCGTCTGCGAAGAGAACACAAGTTGACTTCAATGAAAAAGGTAATTCGTTCATGAAAAGGTTGAATATTAAAGGACCTAGAACACTGCCTTGAGGTATTCCCACGGTCACAGGCAGTTTCTTGGAACAAGATCCACCATACTGCGTAAACTGATATCTGCCAGTTAAAAAGGAAGCGATCCAATGCCACAGAGGACCTTTGATATAGTATTGAGTAGACAGTTTGTTAAGAATAAGATCATGTGGTAATTTGTCGAAAGCCTTTGACATGTCTAAGAAGACAGCATCTATAACAGGAGATCTAGATTTATCAAGGGTTTGGGTCCAATCATGGATAACATTTGTAAGCTGAGTGACACATGATTTCCGTTTAGTGAATCCGTGCTGATTAGGAGACATCAGACATAATTCGGACAAATGGTGATTAATTCCACTGAGAACAATTTTCTCTAAAGACTTACAAAATATAGAAGTCAGTGCTATTGGTCTGTAATTACTGAATGTGGAGGAAATACCAGATTTTAGAACTGGTACAACTATAGAGTGCTTCCATTCTTCCGGTACTTGACCAGTACAAATTGAGGTTTTAAATAGAGAGAAAAGGGGATATGATATAATTGAAGACATGGCCTGGAGTAGTCTAGGTGAGACATCGTCAGGACCTGGAGATTTATTTGGTAAGAAAGTATGGACTTTGCAACATCATAGGGAGAAAATTCAAGTGTCTGAAGTGATGAAATTAAGGAACAGATTCATAAAGAATCAGGAAGTGAGGTAGGTATATTTGAAGATTTGTTGTAGACAGAAGCAAAGTACTGATTAAAACTAGTAACAATGTTGAAAGGTGTTTTTAGGAGTGAACCATCATTAGACATAAATGAAGGTTGAGTAGAAGTTCTATATCTTTTAGACTTTATATATGCCCAAAACCTTTTACGATTATCACTAGAAGCAAACATTTTATTAACATAATCACCATATGATTTCTTAACTTGGTATTTAACTTGGTTTCTAATAGTTTTATATTTAGTCCAAACGAGTGGTGATTGGGACAAACGAGCTTTTCGAAACAGAGCATTTTTCTTTTGGATGAGTTTCTTCAGTTCTGGAACAATCCATGGCCTCTACGAGTCTTTCTAGCAATTGATGGAATACTGTCTGTAACAGCGGCATCCAAGATATCCATAAATCCAGACCATGATACATTAACATCGTTAGGCTGCATAAATGCACACCATGGAGCCAGGTGAAGAAGTTGGTTGAGGTGATCGTAGTCTGCTTTAGAATATTGCAAATATGTACGAGTTATTTATTTTGGTGGATACTTTTATAACATACGTTTGAGACTGTAAACACATAACCTACATGACCTTTCTCTAAAGTGGGTTGTGGAAGATGATTCAAATCATATTGGTATGTATTAGCTACTAAAGTATAAGTATGCATCTTTGTATACCTTGTTTTCATAAATGAATTATTTGGGAAAGGGTGCAACAAGATATCTCCAATAAACAGAACAAGCAGTTTTCTATTGCTGTGCTTAATCACTGTTTTAATTTGGCACGCCTTATTTGCTAAAGTTATTCAAGCATAATACCACATAAAATTCCTTCTGCGCCCACTACCTTTTTTGAATAGGTGTATTATTGAACTGTATCTCCTGGCTTATTCACATTCATACATTCATAGTAATCACGATGGAATTTTGGTGACCTTGTCGTATTTCTGTATCCCAGAATTCCATAGT